TGATTGTTCTATTTAATTGATTGTGAATCCCTTTACTGGCTAGGATTTCCGCGTAGAAGAAAGTCAGTTAACAACAAAAACTAAGAAATTTACGTGCCCACGAGCATGTAAGTTGTATAACACTCGAATATTTTAACCATTACTGCCAAATTGACCCAAAAGAAACGGCTGGAAATTCTTTTCACGCAAATATAACTTTGTTAATCTAAATAAGTAAAAGTGTTGCGTAGATTCCGTTGAAATGCATTTGGGAATGTTTATAAATATTTATTTATTTCCTTGGGGTAATTAATTTTCTGTTATCTAAGAGTTTGGGGCCGTTAATAATATTTTATTAGACAATAAAAGGGGAATAGAAGAAATTACTTTCATTCTACGTCCATTGCGTTTCATCGTTGTAATAAAAAGCATGCATGAACTGTATTTTATATTTGGCTTGATATTATCTACTGTGGAAAAGAAAAGTAGTTTCCAAATCCTGTCGATAACAGCTAGGACACTATATCATAAGTAAACCCACACTGATAAGACATTTTCTTGCAGTTCCTCCTCATTTTGTTGGAGTTTTTGTTCTCTTCCATGGATAAAAACTCTTCACGCATTCTTCTTCTGTTGCAAGTTTCTCTTTTATGGTTGTACTAGAATCACAAAAACGCAAGAAAGTGTACAATTTGTCGACAGGCACCACTATCTTACGTATCTAGAGGAAATCTCTCAAAAATTGGTGTATCAGTCACAGAAACACAAATTCGGTATAAAATTATGTTCTTTTGATAGAAGTTTTTGTTTTTAGAAATTACCCCTTAAACGTAAGAAGAGGTGAAAGTTGTCGATACACTCCCCTATTACTTTCCTACTTGTTTGTTCCCTTGATACATTAAAAATCAGATTAGGCGCAAGAATATGTAAAAATTTATTGCGCACTTGTCCGTTCCTCTGGGGCTGTATCTGCATCCTAAAAACGGAAGAAGTCAGATATTTCCTCATGTATGTTCCCTTAGCCTTAGTACAAATTATCGGGGGTAAATACACAAGAGCTTGATTTTTAATCGGATAATTTTATTTTTACACGAAAGTTTTGTTGTAACGGAAAAAACTAGAGATTTAAAGTGTGTGCTTTTGATCGAGAGTTTGTTGCAGGAGGCAACAAAATTTGAGTGAATTAAAAATAAAATTATCCTGATTTAAAACCAAGATTATGAAGCGCTGTTTGTGGCATAATTACTAGGTCTGAATTTATTTTAAAAATCGTCATTTATATAGATTCGAAAGTGTTTTATAAGTGTACGGAAAGTATATTTATATATATTCGAAAAAATGGTCATTTATATATATTCAAACGTATTTTAAATATATACGGAAATATTTTATATATATTCGAAATTAATGCAAAATATATACACGGTGTCCATTTTTCGGGTGCCACTATGGGGATCTCACTTATCTTAAGAGATAGAAAGTTGGTTAAATGGGGGCAAAGTTGCCAATTTTCGTGCTGAATAAGAATCTGAAAAGAAATTTAAAATATCTTCAATAATTTTGAAGATATCGCAAAAAAACGAAAATTTCTGATTTTCGTTTTTAATTTTTTTATGATAAACCTTGGATAAACTAATCGTAGTAGGCATTTCTAATTAACACATTATTCGGACACTTTTTAGTGGAGATTTCAAATATGGCATCCTGTTTTTAATAACTTTCAAGATTACGGAGAAACACGTGGCAACTTTAGTTTTTCTTATGGGCGCCATTTTGAATTTTCACATTTTGAGATTACGTCTTTTTTCTCTTTACAACAATATATCACACATGGTGGTTCAGTATCACATTTTTCCTAAAAATACAATTTTTAATTTTTTGAGAAGAGTGCTTTGGAAAAACAAAACGTTCTTTTGTTGTAAACAAAAGTTTGACAGTTGGATCCATCTGTCTGGTTGCAGCGTTGTCAGAGAAGTAGAAATTCGATTTTCATCTGAACAGAATTGAACCTTCGTTTTGCAAGAAAATTATAATTAAAATTAGAACAAAATACATCACAACATGTGTTCAAATTGCCCACATCCTAATTTTGAGCACAGTGCCACTCTCTTCCTAAGATTTGCTATGGCTCTTGACACATCCCTTCTTCTAATCTTGTGCCTGAGAGTGCAATTCTATGACGAAGTTCATAGAAGTTCAAGAACGTATAACATTTATTAACAGATAGCTCCTCACTTATAATATTCTTATAAGTTTCTCTGATAAAAAATTAAGATTAAAATTTAAGAAACAGAAGATGGTACCAAATTTGTTGACAGATTACTCCTTTTTTATTAGTTTTTTTTCATTTTCACTATGGGGATCTCGTAAACCGTAAGAGATACAGCGTCGCTTAAATTCCTTTCTTCTGCTCCTCAATTCGACAGACTCGGTAGCCTCGATCAACTTCAAAAAATTCCCAAAGAATTTATTGCACACATTTTGATCAACACTTGAAATAAATCTTGGGCACCAATAGAAAAAAATCTGACATGATAGGGGCCAGATGGAGTCTGGATTCGAATAAACATACAATTAACTGATTAACAATGACAAAAATTGATTCCGATACAACAAAATTAAAAACAAAATCCCTGCAGGAAAGAAATGCTTGCCTATACTTTTCATTAATATTTGTAATATTGTAATAGTTGAACCAGTTCCAATCAGAGCAGGGCAGAATACTTTCAAAGAGTATTTGAATTGACCCAATGTCTGTTGCCCAATGTCGGTTGTACAATGTCCGTTGTCCGTTCGATTAGACTTCTCAATCAAAAGTTATAGACTAGAAACCAATTTCGGAAGAAACATCAAAGGGCTGTAACTTTTGAACTAGTAGCCCAATCTCGGAACTGTTTGAAATTATGGATTCTACAGGCCACACTCTATAAGAAAGTTAGGACATAATACCCCTCACGCAGACGGTAGATAATTAATCCTTCGGCCCCTGCTTGAAAATCAGTGATCGATTACCCGTTTTGGTCCCACGGACCAATATCAATCTTATGGGCAAACTATGTCATACGTTGTACCCTCTAATTTAATAAGTTCAAGTCACAATGCATTCTAAGTACACCTATAAGATATTTCTTGGAATTTTTCCAAGATATACTTCTTTTACTTCAAGAGTAATTAATTTAATGTGTTGGGGGTACACTTGCTCCGTATCAAGGGTGTTCAACTAAGTTTTAAAAACCTAACACCGTTTAGGACTCAGTGACCGAAAACTTCACTAAATGCTATACTGCTACTTTGATTCTAGTGTTTAAGGAAACGGAATTTCTACTATAAAATAATCTCCTTATTCAGAATTTTCAAAAGCACCGCCAGTCACAATTACACTTTATAACTCCAACTTCCAAGGGACGCACCCCACTTACACCGAAAATAACGCGCAATTTTTGGAAAACACCGATGAAAACACTTGCATTAATTAAATTTCGCCTGAAAAAATTCCAATTCCAAACAATTCTAAAAGGGAAAACGGACACCGTGATAACAAATTCAAGTAGTATAAACCAACCTTGTATTATACGTTAATAATCCCCCAGATTTACACTTAATAAATTGCAATATGCCCATATACAGGGTGTTATCCCTGGCGTTTAGACCGAAATAACGTCTACATGACGTTGTTTACCATTATAGTATTTCATTTCGGAATCAACGTTGCATTCTTGCCTTGAACTTTTCAAATGAGGTATTTCTTATAGCTTCGTTACAGTGTCCGATACGATCGGGAAACGTACCAGTTAATGTTTAAATAAATTTGTATCGTAATTACGCCCAAAGTAACCGTTTGTGATGATTCTTTAATACATTTAGAAAAAGATTCGCACTCGAAAAAATTTGGGTGTCGTGATTAAAGAGAATTTTCCTTGGCTGAGGCAGTAACTCCGGATAAGGGGTTTTTTCGGATTTGAAAATGTTATACCAAATGCGAATTTTATCAAGCGGATGAATTAAGATTGGTAAGTGAAGATCGAGAAGACAAACAGCCAAGTTTAGACCAAGACGGTTAAAGGCGCCGAGGGTTTCCAAACTGCAGATCCCTTTATATTCTATTCCATTATGTATGTATCGTCGACATTATCTACAAAGTTTTATGACGTACATGCATGATCTATGTTAGATTAAAGAATGTTTTTGGTTCTGGAATTCGTTAACGTTTTAAATCAAGAAAAAATTTAATTTATTGACGTCAAGAATTCATGAAATTTGGATTTGAGAAAAAAGATTAAATTTTCATTTAAAATTGAGTTGTCCAGAGTTCTATTGAAAAAATGCCCAAAAAAATGGGCCCATCCCGTTCATGGTTTTCAGTCGCTTCATGTAGAGCTTCTCAAAGGATTTGGTAATGGTTGGAAGCAGGAACTTAACGTCATTGGGAAAAAATGGAGAAACACGAAAATCAATATAACAAATAAAAACCTTATGAGGTAAACAGTGCCAAAAGTCCAAAATTTCGTTTATTTAATTTTTTTAATGTTGGAACTATTGGCTTTTCCTAGGGTCTCTAGATTTTGCACCTTTTTGTAAACGCCTACGTACTCCAATTTGATATCGTGAAAAGCTTTTGGAAATTGGAACAAAGCATCATATAATTCCTGATAAACATGTCAAATATGCGATGCTTGTTGATGCGTCCATTGCTCGGTTACGGAAATTAAAATGAACCTGAGCTCGTAAAGTCTCCGGAATAAATTGATGGGCTTTTTACATTCCAGCAGTAAAATTTGCGGAAGTAACGAAAAACTTGTGGCGTTATTACCATAAAAATTAATAAAATGTGCATTAACTTCAGGTACTCGACGTTGATATATTGCTCCTATTTACACGCTCTAGTAAAACAAAACGATTGCTGCTTATGAAATCCAACTAACAAAGAACTGTTGCAATTGGAAATAAGATATGAAGTAACCCCGATTTGACATGCTACCCGTATTAGATATTAAATTTATTATTATCTTCTCCGCGACCTACTTTCTTAATATTTACAAACATTTTGCTTTCAGATAGAACACACAATGACAATGCCAAAATTATGCGAAGCTAGACTGGAGTAAAATGTTAAGATGGTTGGGTCCACGAAAGGGTTCCCCAGATCGACAGGCCGAAGAGGTAACCGAGGATCCCCTCGCGGCGATTGGCCCGAAACGGAAAGGCGACAAAATTTATTCCGTCAGCAGGTATTTGTATTCACCGTCGATTTTTCGTTGCACATTCGTTGATTTTTCAGGGTGAATCCGATATTCGATGACGGTTGCCCGTCGACTGCGGTTAAGGTGAAAACGGTTCCTACGCGAGATAGTTATCCGCCAAGCGCCGAAAAATCCGACTCGTCCGGCTATTGCGGAAGTCGCGTGGGACCTAGCGACGAGCGGTTGAGGTTGCGCGATGATTTGGTGGTGGAACAAAATTCGGCGTACGTTAAATCGATTCAGGTTGCACCGCTGTGCGTAAAATCGAAGTCGATACCATCGCTAGGTTCGGGTTCGTCAACCAGGGGTACGCTAACTACAATTCCTGAGGGCAAAGTGGACTTGGGCGTGCCAAAACCCATTTGGCCCAACGGACTGAAACACATTAGTCAATACGATTCGCTCGTTGACGAAGCTTTACTATTGTACACTAGCACAAGTTATGTTCCTAATGACCAAGTCAGTCTTGAGAAAGACGTTTCGCTACGTGAAGTTTTAGTCGACCTTTCGAACTGCATCAGTGCTACAATAGAGGGTAAGAGCGACGTCGCGCCGGAAGTTATGTTGAAGGCGGTCAAAGAAAAAATAACTGCCAGTCTAGGTTTGCTGAGAAACTCGACCGAGGAGGACATGCGTAAATTGTGCATCAATCTAAGCAAGCTTCAGCAGGTTAACTCAGTCGTGAGAGCCTTTACTAACTCGTCCTCTAGCGGGAATTCCAGCCAAGGTTCGCCGGAGCTGAACAGTGCCAGGGAGAGAAGAATTTCGGACGAGGCGGACGAAATCTATCAGGTTCCTTCGGGATCGTCCAGTAGTGGTTTTAGTGACTCCGTAAAACACTATCCCGTTGCTAAGTTTACGCTGCCACAAGACGACGCTGCCTTACAGTCGCAAGGTATTCGAAACGCAATTATATACGGTACGTTGTGTCGGACGAACGTTAAAGTTAGTAGTGCCAATGATAAGTTGTGTGCTCCAAATGGTAATGGCGCAGAGAGGAAGAGGAGTCTGTTGCAGTCGAATCCGGATAGCAAGCCGAGCGTGTGGCAGCAATACTATGGAGTCAATATTGCTCAAGGAAGTAGCAGTAAGCATAATCCCAAGCCTTCCGATGTACCACTTTACGTAAGTAGCATATCACCTAATTTATTGTCAGGCTTGAAGATCATAAAGAATTTCATCCATAAATAAATCGATGGTTAGTATTTATTTTATAGCATATGCTAAAATGACATTTTAATAAGTTTAATAATAATAATAATATTTAATTGTGAGAAGGTGAATTACACTTACACTCGTCAAAAGAAACGGGAAATTACATTAAACATTAAAAATAATAGTATATAACAAACAAACTAAAAACAGACAGGTAAAAACAGTAAAATCGCAATAAAAACGCTAACTAATTACATAATCTACCACTAGCCACAAACTCGTTAAAAGAATAAAATGCGTTACACAGAAGAAAATTTTTTATGCGTCTCTTAAATATGGGGTAGTCTAAAATCCTTATATCTAAGGGATGGCAGTTGTATAAATGTTTGCATTGGTACTGTACTCCTTCTTGTGATTTTGACAGTCTGCATAGATCAGTACGGATATTGTTTTTTTTTCTTGTGTGATGAGTATGTACGTCAACTTGTTGTGTGTAAAGAGATATATTTCGTTTAGCATAGCATAGGGCTTCAAGAATATAAATACAAGGAAGTGTTAAGATTCTGAGATCGATAAATGCTTGAAGACAATCGTCTCTATAACCTAAAGATGCCAGAACCCGAACAGCTCTACGTTGTAGTTTGAACAAGCATTGCCAATGAGAACTATGTCCCCAAGCGAGGATGGCATATGAGAGAGAACTATGCACAAAACAAAAATATGCTGCTTTAATGGTATTTAAAGATGTGCAGTTGCGCAACCGAGTAAGTAAAAATATCGACGTGTTCAATTTTTTGACAAATTATCGCAGTGATATTTGAAGTCTAATTTGCTGTCAATCACACAACCTAGAAATGTGAAATGAGCACCATTAGAGACGATATTATCTTTTCTTAAAGATAAAGGCAAGATAGTAGTCTTAGCAGGATTTAGTTTCAAAGTATTATCAGTGCACCATCGAGAAATAAGTTTGATGCCGTCTTGAATGTTGGCATAAGCCGAATCATAACACATACTACTCGATATTAGTGTAGCGTCATCTGCGTACAAAATACATTGCGTCTGCGGTGGCAAATGGGACGGTAGATCATTAACATAAATTAAAAATAGCAAGGGTCCAAGGATAGAGCCTTGCGGTACGCCGTATTTGATGTGTAATTTGTTAGATACTGCGTTGTTAAAGAGGACACATTGATACCTATTAGACAAAAATGAAGACACTAATGACAAACTCCGTTTACTAAAGTGATACACCTCACTAAGCTTGCGGACTAAAGTATCATGGCATACACAATCAAAAGCCTTAGTGAGATCAACAAAAGCAGCTATCATGTGTTGCTTATTTTCGAAATAGTGTAAAGCCTTCGCGGTGAAAGAAATAATTGCGTCAGAAGTACATCTACCTTTCCTGAAACCGTATTGATACTGATAGAGCAGCTTATTAGATTCAAAAAAGTCAATTACTTGTTTATACTGAAGTTTCTCTATGACCTTGCTGAAAACAGGCAAAATAGAGATTGGCCTGTAACTGCTAATACTCTTTCCATCCATTCCTTTTTTAAGAAGTGGAATAACCAAACCAACTTTTAAGGTTTCAGGAAAAATACCTGTTTTGATAATGTTTGCTAATTTAGTTAAAGGTTCGACGAAAACACTAACGTTACGTTTTATTAAGGCCGCGCTAAAACCAAAAATGTCTCTTGAACTGCTATTCCTCAAACTTTTGATGGAGTCACGTGTGTCGACTTGCAAAACAAATTTAAAGTCGAATACCAAATTATCGGAAATCTTTAAATTACAAGAGCTAACGGGGTCGTTGGCAGTGTTAGGCAAATTGCCCAAGATCTCAACGATACTGCTAAAATACCTGTTAACATCATCGCATGTTAAAGACGAATGTGATTCAATATTACAATTTTTATGCGAATTTATTATTGACCACATAGATCTGCTGGAATTCCCAGAGTTTCTAATAAGTCGAATCTCTTTTTTGTAATGTAAAGAGAGCGATTTCTTTAAATGATATAAATTTGGTGATTTATATATATAATGTAGTTCACTGATCAGTTGTAAATTCGATCGGAGCTTACGTAATTTGTCAGTAAACCAACTGACTTTGTTCGTGGTCCCCTTTTTTGTAATCTTTACAACAGGGAAACAAGTATAGCAGAAGTTACAAATCATATTCATAAAATCAGTCCATGTTGCGTTACAGTCGCCTGCGTCAGAGTTTATAATTGATTTCCAATTACACGTTTGTAATTTACAAAAAATAGTTACATACCTGTACTCGATAAGGGACGGTATAGCTTGGCACAGGTTATTTCACTGCTGATGCGTTCAACTTTAAGTTCGATGAGTTGACCAAAATGGTCAGACAAACCAGTATTTATCGAATAACTAAAGCATGTAAAATTAATGAAAATGTTATCCAGGCAATTCTCTCCACGAGTACTAGTGAAGATTGTCTGGACAAAGCCGTTTGCTTCCAGAAAATCGCAGAGCAGTTGTGATTTGTAATCTTTACCAAAATGAACATTAAAATCACCTGACAGAACAATATTAAAATTAACTAATTTGTCGAGCATATTTTGAAGTAGACTCATAAAGGTATCAAATTCTCCATTAGGAGACCTATAAATACATATTACAGCAGTGTAAGAGTTAATGAGAGTGCCACAGATTTCAAAGTGCATATCAACGGACAAGTCGTTAATAAATTTTAAAGGTTTATAAGAACTACACGATTTATTTAAAATAACCACTCCACCATGAGTCAACGAAGATCTGCAATGGAAGGACGACACTGAGTAGTCACCAAGTTTAAGAGATACTAGTAGTTCGCTGTCGATAAACCAATGCTCACTTAGACATATTAAATCGAAGTTTTTGTCAGTTATAAATGCTTCAAGTTCATTATAGTATTTTACATTATTAACCAGGTAAGTGAGTTTTTACTGGCGATAGGAGAAGTTGGCTGGCGAGCCGTCAGGCGAGCCTGTCATCTCCTACAGCCTAGTAAAAACTATTACCTGGCGTCTCGCCTGGCGTATAATGTACAATATTTTATTTGTTACTCATTTGTAAACAATAGTAAACGTAAATAATTAGTTCTTAAATTGATCTCGAAGAAATGTCTAAAATATCATGTTATCCATGTAACAGAGACTTCGCATTAATTCTGGCCAATGAAATTACTAGATTACTAACTTGTAAAATTTTTACACGTCAGCTGTCAGTTTTACAAGTCAGTAGCGTTTAAAGATGACGTTTACCCGTTTGCGTTTTGTCTTGTTAATCAACGTTTACAACTGAGTAACAAATAAATTTTATTTTTTAATGATTGAATATTAATATGAAAGACGGTTAGGTTGTAGTCCGATTGTCGGGTGACACGCTTATCGACTATCAACTGGAAATAGTTTGAATGAGTAGAGAGAGTAGAGAGTGATCACTTTAACCGTAAGGGTAGATAAAGTGAAGCAGTTGATTGTGCATTCTAGTGACATCTGTCATTCTTATTTCAAATGCACGATATAAAATGACACAGAACATATTTGTTTCTATGGAAACGATTGCAATTGTCAGAAGCTGTACAATGATTTATATGGCTTCTGCTATAAAATAAAGTCTTGTATTATACACGACGATAAAGGGAACCTAACCATCTCGTGAATTAACATCTTTCACTCGATGGTAAAACATCCCTTTATCGTCTTGTATAATAAATAACTATTAATTGATCTCGACCTGCATGGATTGTTGCGCCGATTTAATATTAATTATCTCGGACGTTCATGCATAAAGCGCAATGTAATAGAAATTCATGCCAGTAATTTTTTTAGTTTGTCACGCTTTGAGGATGCTCTTTGCATGAGTAAGTAAGTTGATTTTTATTTAACTTGACGAAAAGGCCCAATTGAAATTAACGTGGTCTTATACAAAGGCACGTTATGATCTATGAATTATGTAATGAAGAAATGACGAACCTCGTGACGAACAGAGAAGAAATTTGTTACGTTGCATGGAGAACACCAATAGAGATCAAGTTTGCATATTAGTACACTTCAACAACTACTATTTATTTGTTATTTATTATTTTATTATTTATTATCCCTCTCTTGTTCTGGGTCTTCAACAGGCTTGCGCCCAATTACAGAGTGACCCGGATAATGCTTTTTAGAATATATTATATATTATACTTCCGCGATATGTAGAGATCCCTACATTAATATTTATTGGCACAAACTTTGCAAAAATGCACAAATTTTAAAATTCAAATAAGCTACAGACACACACGGAAGACTGCGCTTTTTCTAACCAACACTCATTTTGCATAATTCTTGCATCTAATTAGTAATACCATATTTATATTTTATTATAAGTATACTTATGTCTTTTTTACTGCAGTAGGTTTGCTTCCGTAAACAATTCAAGGCAATCGTCTGTTTTAGAATGGCTAGTAGATTCCAAAATGCCAATCCATTCACTTAAACTCTGCCATCAGTCTTTATAAACTAACTGGTCTTGTCTTCTACCGTAATGCAACTTGGCATTTTGACCGCATTTTTTTTAAATATTAAAAGACTGTGCGTCCATCCGCCCGGACCTTGGAATTGTTTGCAATAGGTAGCTTATGGAGGGTTTAAAACCCACCTTTTACCCTTCATGCTATTTTATAAAAGTCTCATTGAAAGGAGTCTTTCCCCCGCGACTCCTAATCAAGATCAGTGGGTAGGGGATAAGTGAGGGTGGAGAGGAGAGGGTAGCTCAACGAAAGGAGTTAATTTCTACCAGGCACATCTCTTCTCCTCGACCTCTTTTCGTGATCGGTTGCACTTCTTCATCTCAACAGCACAGCAACATCGTCAAAATCTGAAAAGAAAACGAAAATTCCTCGGTTTTTAGTATATTTGACTATGTTGCGTTCGCCGCTCGAGGTCGAAAACTTGAATTATACATTGGGTTAA